ATGTTTTTGTTCAAGAAACAACAAACCGATTTTTTTTAAAAAAAAAATTTTTGGTGGGGGAATTTGCTGTTTTTTTGCTTTTTTTTCCTTTTTTGGCGGGGGGGCCCTGTTTGGGGCAAAAGAAAGGCGGGGGGGGCCATGTTGCTAATCGGTACATCTTGTAACTGTTGCCTAACTTCTACATAAAACAAGTTGACCTCGACTGGTTGGCCTTAAAAGTGTTTGTCTATGTGTCTTTCCAGAAAAATGAATCTTCCTGTCTGCACGATACTGTGTGATACGTTACCCTGATCCGGTGTGACTGTTTTTTTGCGCTGGCACTAATTTAACATGTGCAGGCTTTCGCGTAAATATAACGGACCTCAGACCGTATTGCCGATAAATGCCCATACTTCTGCCCCATCAATGTTATACAAGAACCTCGAACTTTTCTTAATGTTTATATTTTAACCCGACACACGTAAAACAAAATAGCAAATTTCACAGTAAAGCCCAAGATCTTTGCCCCATAAAACCTACCACACGTTTAACACTTTAACTTATACTACTAAACCCCACTGCCGATGACCCACAAATATGTCCTCAACTGCTGGTACTAAAACTTTTTGGAAGAATGGTTTACGCATCCATCTTGTAAAGAAAATTCGTTTAAAACAAAAAAACGGCTCCTTGCCTCTTCCACTGGCATCGGCCAAAGAAACCAGGGGCGCCTTTTGTGAGAATGTCAGCCGAGCCGATTTTTCTCTGTTTTTGAGCGGTGACATTGGCCTTTTGTTGTTTACAGGAACAAACAAATCCCACGAAAAAAAAGAGCACCCCAACCAGTTTTGCTGCGGCAGTAGCAGTCAGGATGCCTTCAGAAAACAGGTCAAACGACTGGCGATGCACGCTGACCACGTCAAACCCTCAGGCATTTGTTTGTGAAACCTCCTTTTCTATAATACCTAAATGCAACGAAAATACAGGCCAAACAGAACCAACTGGCATGTTCCAAGTCATAACCACTTTTTTGCAAAAGAAAAGAAACTCTATTTCTGCCGGGTTGAAACACATCCGAGCATAATGAGGAAATTAAAAACGAGAAGTTAGATAGACATTCTTTAGGCATTTAGCCATGGAGTGGGTTTATTGTTGCGCGGTTTTTCATGCCTCAAAAATGCCAACTCTACGCCCTACCTCCCGACTTCCTTCCACAGACACTTTTGGTGCCGTTGGTCTCAGAGTGGTTAAAAAATGCCCTCGGGCACTCAACAGCAGTGCCTGGATGGTACGCATGTTAAGAGGCTGTGACTTTGCTTTTCGCAGGAATGGCTGGAACCTGACAAGCCGTTTCGCGGCTTTACAATGCAACCCGCGCTAAACCACGTCTGCGCTCATCTCCCATCTATTTCTTTTGAGTCACAGCCCGCTTACACTGCCCCAGCGATTAACGTAGCATTCAGCATCGGAAATCACGTCTATAGGTTTGGCATAAGACTTGTTGCAAATTCTCAAAGTTCTAATAAGCTGGCATTTTATGAAGGCCGTCAGAGAACGCGAGAGGAAAGAAGCTTACGTTTAGATGAAACACTTTATCAGGTCCAAGCAAGTTGTTATAGAACAAAACCCAATGAACTTTAACATGTGAAAGTGTGTGAATTTAACACAACTGAATAACATCCTGAGCACACCCATCTTGGGAGTCCCAGCTCAACTTTTTTTCGGACTGACTTCTCATATGCTTGAATAACAGCAAAAAGTTAAACGAGGAACAAAAGCAGAGAGAAGGAAAGGCACTGGTACGACATTTTTTTTAGCATGTCAGGAGAAGAATAAGAAGAAAAGAAGATGAGGGAGAAAGGGCAAGAGAGCGATAGTGGAGAAAGGGTGGGAGGAGCCGACGCGGGGAGCGCCAGCTGGCGGTCGCCTCCAGGCAGTCACAAAATGGAACCATCGAAATCGATTCCAGTACAGGGAGTGGCCTAGACAGTTCTCGCCGAAACGCAGCCGGATAAACACCGCAAAACACGGACAATAAACGCCTACACTTGCAACCATAAGTTGTGAATTTCACGTCAACAACAACAATTGCCTTCACAGAGCCCGCCGTTCTATTTTCCGCCGCTCATGCTGTTTGCCCATGCATAGGTTCTAAAACGTTTCAGAGGTGGACCCGTTAGGATTGTCCCTGAAGTTCATTGCTCAGCTTAGCATGCAAAGTGCTACAGGCTAACGAGATTAATTGGGAGGTTTTAGTTCCGGAGTATAAGTGTTAGCTTGAGGTTTCCTCCTGTACAAGTCTTTAGTTCCTTCGACTGTTTTTTTCTTTTAGAGGATCCAGAAGAGTGCACAGGTCAAAGGGAACCCCAAGCTCCAGAGGAGAAGCCCATGGGATGGTGACATACAGACACCAGGCCAATGTTGACAGAAGAGTCGACTTGTTGTTGTCTATGCTGTGGCGTGTGGTGCGTATTGTTGCGCTCCATGCTTCTGAGCTCAGTTCCTCGCAGCTCAGAGCCTCGAGGAGTGTAAGCACACCGCCGACACACAGACACACACCACACAGCAGGCCACACCAGCCACAACACACGACACACACCACTAGCAGCGACACACACACACCACGCGACGACACACACACACTGTGACTGACCGCTGACCTTTCCATCTTTGAACAACTTAACTTCTTCTCTGGGGAGAATTGCCAGACCGTGTGGCGGATGTGAGGAGGGTGACAAAACTGCGCAATAGACAAAGTAGACATGATCTGGTGAACGTTCAGATGACGATAAAGTAAACATACATCTACAGATGCGCCCAGAGTGGTACTTATGAATGATGATATGTACGAGTATAGATTGCTCATTCAGAGAAACATCGGGTTGATCAATCTCCCGCTTTTACTGCCTCCTTCACTTTCTGGCCTTTAAGATTTAACGCGCACTTTTTTAAATCTCCTTCATATCAGCAACACTTAAAAGGACCGATTGGTATTTGCGATCGCCACCTTACGTTTTTCTTCATATTATTGTAGCCATGTTGTACACGTCACTCTCCTGTTGCTGCATATATCTTAATCAGGAGGTTTCGCGTAAAAAGGGAATAGAGGGTGATGTATGCCTGGTTGGACGCCCTATTGAGGCAGATTTAGTGATAATTGACTTTCAGCAATTTCGAACATCCCAAAACTAATCATGAGTTGACTAGAACGCCTAATGGCAGCGAACGAAATTGTGCGCAGACGTGCTAGCTCCATAGCCTTGGTCTTCTTACAACAGGGCAACAAATCCTGTACGCGCGGTTTCCTCTTTTCTTGCTTTGTTAATGGTGTTTTGGCTATTTTTATTTTATTTACAACAGGGTACAAGAAGCTGTTATCATAAACCATGCTGGTGTGGCTTAATCCACTTTATTCATTTTTCCTAGAATAATTCAGCCATTGTTGGATGGATTAATGCAGCGGTGCATTAGGGTGGCGTGCCAAGGAATGGCGGGCGCGCACAGACGCAGCGGCTCCAGTTCTTTCCCCCCTCAGCAGCGGCCAAAGAAACATCCTGTGGAAGCGACACACGCCACCTCGGGCTTCCCACCTCTGTTAACCTCGTGGCCACTTCCAGGCAGGCTGGCTTCAGGGATCAACTAACGGCCAGAACAAACAGAGACTCAGGATAACTCTTCCCCCAAAGCTGTCACCATGTGTTGATCTCAACTCCAATCGTAAATCTCAACTGTCTGCACTAATGTACTGTGTATATGTATTGTATGTGAAATATTTATGGTGGTCGCACTTTTAACGGAGCTGCTCTGCCCCCCCAAAAATCTCATGTGTACTGGAATGGTAACAATGACAATAAACGGCTATCTCAATTTACAAAATTTTCTAATTTCAATTCAGACGTCCAGTGAGTAAAATTAATAATTATTTAATGTTACAGGCACGTAGGAGAAAAACGTTTGGCACACACTTGCTGGCTTAAGGACAACGAGTCTGGAAATCTGTGGTGTTTTTGAAGGCAGGCATCATCTGGCTCTCCCTCACACGCTACTAACACGCTCCATTGCCTCTCTCTCTCTCCCTCTCTCTTCTTGCCTGGTAAACAACTCTCGTATTTCATTCTCCCCTCTTCCCTCCGACCCGCTCACCCCCTCGGCCTGCGCTTGCCCCATACCAACAGGAAGACAAGGGGCGGGATGCTGCAAGCAAACACTTCCTCTTCTCACGAAGTACTTCCTGGTCTCTGGGAATCATTTCGCTTGTGCAACTCAGCTACTACAACAGACGGGCTAAGAGCATTCCGTCAAGAGTCGTCTCCTCTATCTCTCTGCTCTCTCCTCTGCTCTTCTCTCTCTCTCACACACACACACACACACACACCGCACAGCACCACAACACACACACACACATTACATGGTACAAGCATTTATTGAACTTATACGCCTACACAAATTGGTACATGTGTGTGTGATAGTTGTTTTCCTTTGATTTGAGAAAGGTCAAATTAGTGGTTGTGTTGGCGGGAGGCCCTGTCCTGGTGTAACTGTAGACGTTTGTCCTTGTTGCGTCAGTTCGGATAAATGAGCTTTTGTTGGCTTTTTGCTGTATGCTTAGGTCTGCAATACACGGCTGGACTTGGGAGGGTGTTGAGGTGGACAAAAGGAGCTGGACTTGGGATTTATTAAGGTGGGTGGCATTGATTAGCCCAAACAGAAACATACTTAACACACACTAATGATTTAATGACGCCTCTGGCAGGCCCGAGCCCACACATTAAGAATACAGCCGCACAAGGTACGGACTGGGCCCAGACCGAAGACAATGCCCATCGGACCCTGGGGTATTAAGGAGGCCATAGTGCAAGTGACGCTGGAAGGAGAATAAACAGACACGTTGAATGACAGAGAGTGGAGTGGGAGGATGGGAAAAGGAAAGATTGAAAAATAATTCAAAGTTCTTGGCGAGGAACACAGGCATGGTTTCCTGTTTGGTGGTTACACACACACACACACCACACACCACACGCCACACAACACACACACAGAGTTTTGTTTCTAATCAGTGGCAGTTTACTTGCCTTACAGGGGGTGGAAGTGCTTGATATTTGTCTTCGTAGGCTTGGAACCACCACCACAGTGCTGGGGGGTGACACACATGCACCACAGCATTCACCTAAAAGGCACTCAGGATGTCAAACGATATACAGCACAATTTCGGCCATCAGACAGACAGACAGACACACGCACACCACACACACACCACACACCACAATGCTCATCTTTATCTCGTCATGGTACCCTCAACTCTCTTCCTGCTTTTTGCCATTTCTTTTGCTTCCCCAGTGCCTTTTCGCACGGTCCCTGTGTAAGCAAGATTACTAGGAGTTACTCTGTTCACTCTCAGCTGTTTTGGAGGGCGTAAGGGGGCGCGGCGGTCGGGCGCTTCAACAAGTGTCTTAGCTTGTGCGTTTCTGATAATGGTGGAGCGTTTGGGATCATTTGGGGACAGGGATCGTTGATGTTAGTGCAGCTTGTCACATTGATCACAGGACCTTTTTTCGTTTCTCTTTTTATCTATTCATTTTTTTAGTTCTATTCATTTATTTGAAGTTTTATCACTCACTTTATTTTCTTTCCGATATATAAAATCTGTTACCTTATCTGTTATTATATGTACATTTTACTTTATTTGTATCGATTGAAGTTGTGTCACCTTTCTTACGGAAACAATAAAAAGTATGATTGAAAAACAATGTCTTAGCTCAGGTTACATGGACACTAAGGCAGACAAGGCCAAAAAGGAGAGGATTTGACTTCAAATGTTGTTGTTCTAGCATGGACATGACCTTGGGTTTGCTTAGTATCCTGTTGTTTATGTTAATTTATCCTTGTTTATTTGGTTGCACAAATAGAGAGAAGAGATTTACCCTGTGGAGCTTTTACCACAAAGTAAATGAATAAATACAAATAATTGCAGCTCATGGCTGTCGCTTGTCGTCCCTTTTGTTTTTTCATTAAAGATCCCCTCCGGACAAGAGTTTAAAATACTGGACAAAAGATTTTTCTTAAAAGTCCATTGTCAGTGTACTGGAGCGCTGGAGGTTTTAGGTTTCAACATCACACTTGTTTAAGTTGCACACTGGACTGTGGCTGGCTTCCTAGTTGTTATGTCACAAAATCACAACTGGTACACGTGGAGGGGGACTTTTCAAACTATATGGTGATTAATAAATAGAATATGGATCCACAACCTTCTATTTAGCATTTTCACTTCCTGACAAATCTGCACCTGGACACGCTGAAAGAAGACTAGTGACGTTCTCCCGACAGCTTTTGTTGAAGTTGTCAATTCAGCAAAGATACATGTTTTTACGCAAAGAGGTAGCCAGAAGAAAAAATCTCCTGTCATTGTAAACTGGTGCAGTGGGTTGATATATCTTTTAGTGATCACTATATGAGCGGCCTCACATCCTCAGTCACATGGAGAAAATTGCAGAGGAGAATGTTGTTTTATCCATCAGATAAGATAATTTACCTCACCAATGTTAACCTATTTGAAACAGGTGACATGTCTGTCAAACTCTTCATTCAAAACTTTAATGAGGTATTTATAAAAAAATAAAAATAAAAATTCAAAATTGCACATACAAGCAAACAAGTAATTCCTCCTGAGGGCTCTCCTCACGCCCTGGGTAATTAGTTGCACTATTCCCCTCACTACTACACCCCTGTTATAACAAGCACATTTATTTGCAGTGTGGCAATACAAATTGTGCTTTCATGTTTAGCCAGGTAACCCTAAATCCAAACAACACTGAACACCAAACTTTGATGGAGAAACACTGTGGGAAGATGGGACCAAGCCAAACTATTGTTTTTTTAAAGGAGCACATAGAAAAAAAGATGACATGCATGTAAATGGGGAAATGAGCCTGTTTTTATCAAATGTAGCCAAGCCTAGACTTGGACAGGACTTTGATTACATATAAATACTTGGATTTCCTGCCGCAGGTCACTCTACTGTTGACCAACCTGATTTATACTCCACATAAACTAATAGTAAAATGCATTGTGTATGTACTAATGTATGCTATAGTGTCCTACATGCATGAACACAGTCATAATATCTTTTAGTATCTGCATGTGAGGAAACACACCCTGGAGGAGGGTTGTTTGGTCTTTTTAAGTTGTATGGCTGCTGGTGTGTTTGTTCATTGTTGGTCCAGCCTCCTCTCTCCCATCTGCTGCTACTCATTAGCATGGAAACAGGACCGGGAGCGTTTTCACACATACACACACTGGCCATTAATCAACAAGTCAGACCAGGGACCATTCCCACACATACACACCACACAGACGAAAACAAAGACCATACACACACAGACACAGCGCCTAATCACAGAAACATCCCAGAACACACTTTAGTAGATCCCGACCACACCTCTCGTCTCAGTGGATCAGACCTGGCAACACAAATTTTTGTCTATAAAATCTGGCAACCTATAGTGATGTCTCAATTGCTTTTTACTTTAAGTGATGACTGTTCCCTCGTGGCACCGTCAGTGAACACAAGGAGACTTGTTCTCATCAGCTTTTTTTTCTTTGGGGGATGAATTGGCACATACTATTGTGTGAATTTGTTATCTAATTTGTCTAGCCACCATGAATGGCCCACATTGAAGAGACGAGTGTATTCCCATGAACTGGCTAACTTGTGTAAATGTGAGGACACCAAATTACCATCATGTTTGGAAGTATTTGTTCTCATTCTGACTTAAGTACAACAGCAGATTATAGATATAGTGCATTACAGAAATTTGTAAAAATAAGAATAGTAAAATATATGAGGAAGATATGAAAGTGGGGAGCACCTTCCAGTAAACCAACAATACCGGCTGTAAAGTGATCTTTGATGTAAGGCGTGACATTTGGCAAGACACATTTTTATTAGTAAGTAGCACAAAAATGTAAAATTGGAGATTTTTTTTTAAAATCAGTCCCAGA